AGTTCAGGATACAACTGTGGTAGCCCACGAGGCAACATAAGTGAATTATTCACTAATACTATTGTGATAAAAGTTGAGAAAATAGTTCGGCTTGTCAACTGGATCCTAAAGCAATTGAATTAGCCTAAGCGGACTTTTGACAAGAAGAAGAGAAATGTATAATGTTTGAGATACAACTATGATCTCCATAGTGTAAAGTGCGTTTATCTTGTTTTGAATATATTATTTTAAAACAAGTGGAGTGCGTGTTGTCTATTTATTGTTCGAATTTATCACCAACAAGTCACAGACTTCTACTGTAGAAGAATCCTTAACACCCATATACGTATATATATATATATATACTAAAAGTTCTGACATTCAGAAATTATGACTCCACCAACTCTGAAAGAAAATTTTTATGGAAACGTGAGAAGGAGTGACATGCAAGCCAAGCTCAGCTCTGCAGCCAGATTCTACTGATTCAATAGGGCAGGGGAGAAGTCTCAAACAAACGGAGTACCATGAACACTGCATTAATTTCTCCATCCATTACAGGGCTGTTGTCAAGCTACACTGGGCACCCCTGACCATTAGCTGGAATTTATGGCAAAATTCTTGCTTGGTAGAAGGTTGTTACACCACATCATCAAATTGGCCAAAGTAAATTGAAACCTCAAAAAAGAAAAAAATACACAAGATCCCTGAACCACATAGTGTGTTTCCAAATTTATGCTCACCTTAAATCCAAGAGGAAGAGTGCCATTTCAGGGATCATGCTTATTAGCTTTGTAAAGTCCATTCTACAAGAGCTTAGCAAAGCAGCAGTGGAGAAGTAGCATTGCCATAGTCAGAACATGGCTATACAATAAACCAATACCTAAACTAGTTTTGAGGACATCTTGGTAAAGTGTGTGTGATAAATTATCATTACAATAGGTTCAAAAGGTATGTAGGAATGTTTAGTAAGTCAAAAATGCTCTCCACAGGAACTTATCTGAAAGGAGGATACCTATGAATGTCTTCTACAGCCTTTCTTAGGTGATTTATATAATTTTGTTTTCCTTGTAATTACACCCAGTTTTATCCAAACAGTTTTATTATTTTCAGTTACAATAACTCATATTTCTTTTTACCAACTTCAGTTTGTTTTCAGTACTTTTAAATTGTATTTCAGTTATTTTCCAATTCCAATTATCAGTATTTTGCTCTTTATTTTTTTCTGCTTTAAGTATAGTCTTTTAATCAGTACTTTGTTTTACTTTTAAACCCAAACTTTGAATTTATTGACTTTGATTTATTTTACTGAGAGTTTCATTTGAGTTTTGTTTTAATCCCTTTTATTGTGTAGTACTGTAAGAAAAGTACAATCATTTTAGTTCATTTTTCTTACTCTAACTATAGTTAAAATGTTACCCAATTTTACAATGAGCTTCTTTATCCTCCCCATATTTATATTCTCTGAACTGCAAACTGTAATTTGTTTTTTGATTGCTATTTTGCACTTTTGAGTTAATCCATGCTGGATTACATCTAGTTCTTCCTGTTTTAAGTTCATTTTTCATTGCATTGTTTTGAATTTGTTTTTATATTTATGTGTCTTTACTTCCATTTTTCTTTACAGTAATTTTGTACTACATTTAATTTATTTTTAACTTATTTTGTATTGTATTCTGGTAATACTATAAGGTGTTTTGTTTGTCTTATATTCAAATCTGTATTCTCTTCAATTCGTATTTATTACTCAACTCATGCTCATATCTCTTATAGTTTTTTATTGTCACATTATTTTCATTCACTAATGGTTAATTTGAGCTGGCCAGTTTTGAGTTGTACTACGAGTTTTATTTTCCAATTTATTGGATGATGGAGCCTGTTTGTAAGATAAGTTTTTTCTTTGTTTGTCCAAGTACAGCAGTCATGACATAATGTGTCAACTAAGGAGATGATTATGGAAACCAGAATTGCATTAGTCAAATGCTTAAATTTGGCCACTTTAATTTATAGTTTGAGCCAAGGAAGCCCCCCTGAGATAAAAAATAGGAGGGGGACTATGTTATTTGGTACCTGTTATGTTTACTTTTCCATCACTAGAATAAAAATATATCTTTATTTAATTATATTCAAAAATATTTCTAAAAAATGTGCTGCATTTGTCACATTCTCATGGGCTTACTTAAATCATTGCCTCAGGTCAAGTTTACATACTTGTGGTCATTCAAGAAGCTTATACTCATCTGATCAGGCTTCTACATTGCCTCTCCCCCAGTGTGTGAACCATACCCAAGTTTAAAGGTATGTTGTAAGTAATACATAACTGTGGGATACTGCATTAGGATCCTGGTCTGATAAAAAAAGTATGGTATAAAAATATGGTGGAGTGAAGTAATCAATTCTGTTCTGGTTGCCAGAGCTGTTTATGCTACTGAGAGGCTGGCCAGCTAGTTGATCATATACTGTAACATGGTAAGTGTTGAAGAAAGTGAAACTAACACTTTATAAATATGAATAAATTTATATTCTCTGTTTTACACTGGTGTCAGTTATGCTTTTCTTGCTGTTTGTTTTAAGTGAATTATGAAAGTTATAGCCACAATATCTGCATATTACAGGAAAATCACAAGTTATAAATGCAACAAGAGTTTTTAAGTGTTGATTGTTAGAACTCCAGGTTGTCAGGTTTGCTTTGTTTGGGAAATGTATGGAGATGGATTCTGCCATAAAAATACAACCAAGAATTTTGAAATAACCAGAAAGGAGTGATTCTGCACATTTGTATACAAGTCCTTTGTTATTACAGACATTTTTACATGAGATATCCTTTAGCATAACACCCTTTCATAACAAAGTACAAGAACAAATGAACACGAGAAATTAAAAAGTGCAATTCAAGTATCAATTCATATGGAGTGAGATATAGCAAGGGCACAGAATGTGGGATTTTGTGGTTGCATAAACAGGCATAAACATTTGTTAATGGTGGTTTAAATGAAAAATCAAATTGTACATGTGTATATATATATATATATAAACTATTTTAAAAATTATTTACAAATACATACAAGTGGACAACACAAACATGGCTTGCATCATTAAATTAAAAACAATAATTACAACATTTCAGCTATTAAGTTTCAGGATAATGATGTGGCCTAAGCACATATTTTGAAGAAGGCTCTTAAATGAAACATTCAATGTAAATAATAAGAAAATGTTTTCTTTTGAAGATATAGGTTGTGTATATGTTTTAATACCTTAGTCATCACACCAAACGTTACTAGATAATAGCATATAGCTCTAGTATTTAATACCCTAAAACATTTTCTTAACAATATTTCCTGAGAATATTCTAAATGAACCATTAATATACTTAATGATTTTAGAGAATATAATATACTGAGTAATAATGACAAAGATAGGCATTTACTAGTGTCAAAGGTTTCATTTAGCATAAATGAAACAAGATCAGAATAATGCTTGAAAACACTAACTTTAAAAACATAAGTTTTCACAGCTTCAAATCAACTATCCACACCATTTTTAAATGTTATGATTAACTCATGGTTTAACTTCTTCAGGTAAATACCTCCAAAAAGGAATGTTATGGTATTATTTTCCAAAAGTCTATGCATATATATATATCTAAGAGAGACAAGTCACATGCTTCAAAAACACACTTTTAAAACACTGGAATTTTGCCAAAAGTCTTGTAACCTCTGTAAGCATGTACCCAAAAGCTATTATGAAGTGAAGGAAATAAATGATCTTATGTCTCCTGATTAATTAAGGAACTGCTAGAACAGTGATGCAGATGGTCAAACATAAATAAGACTATTATGTCCAATGTCACCGCTCTTGTAGTAGATGAATGAACATGTTAAGTTATAGTTGGGAATCTCACTAGCAATTAACAGATTATCATAATAATGTTACATTTCCGTTCGTTAGTTAATTTTCCGTAAATTCGTTCCGACGAAACTTTAGCGACACAAGTCCTTTCTTAAATAAAACTGGTTTATTCTTTCTGAATACAACTTTACGATACACTTAATTTCAACAGTCTCTCTATAACAAACGCTATAACTCACAACGAACTTCTCACGTGCTCAACAATATTCTTACTCATTACCTCCGCAGTTCAATTACACACATATTGTTCCCGTCACTTTGTGACCGCCTTATATATACTAGACTAACACATATCTAGCAAACGCTAGAGCATTCATGAAGGAACAGGATATTTCTAAAAGGACGTGGCGTGATACTAGTCACGTGACCTCGCTGATGCAACAATAATCTTATGATCGTGGTAGTTAAAAAAAGCCACTGTTTAACAGGAATAACCTTTTATCTCAATCTTTCTGTCCATACACCAGCAGACATATGTTTCACTTGAAATCTGTAAGTAATAATGCAGTTAATAACAGCTAGAAACATCCATTTATAGCTCAGCTAACAGTATTGTGATTAATAAGTTTGTGCAAAAGCTGAGGAAAAAATTCAAGTTCCCCACCTACAATGCCATTTGCTATCAAAAACTAGTTACTTGAAGATTGTGTGGCCAATAATGACAAAAACAATAAAAAAGTATGTTTCTTATAACTGAGTATCAGTTTGTACATCTAATTTTACTGACACAACCTCAGGTTTATTTCAACTTTTTTCTTCACTGTAAATTCTATAGAAGGTAGATGGCATCCCTTACCTCTACATGTAAATCTTTTATTACCACATCTCAGTTACAACTTGAGAAATATGTAGGATATATTTTACATTATTGTATGTAATCACTTTAATGTTTCCTTGTTAAATTTTGTAAGAAAAGTTTAAGTTCTGAATCACCATTAGATTGATAATATATAGTTTATTCAATGTACACTTTTCATAATGACACACCTATATCAGTTTATGAATTTCTTTTGTCCCAATGGTAATACTTTTTATAGCCTTCAACTGTGTGCTAATATATCTTACCAAATACTAATAATACAGATAAAGGACAACATTTGGTATGGCTGTGAATAGTGGTTTATTAATCTTGCCAATATCAATATTTACACACACACACACACAGTGTTTTGCAAATATCACTTCAAACATCATATTTATGCATCTGATAACAAAACACCAAGTAGCAAGAAAACAAAATGTAATGATTTCGCTATAAAGAAATTTGATTGCTCTTTCAATATTCTACAGTGGGTAATACATAATAATATGAAATTTCAAAACGATGGTCTTTACCAATGGAAACAAAACTTAATCAGGCTTCTATTAATTATATCTTCATAACGAGAAACAATACACGGACAAGAGGTTATAGTAATAAAACAAATTTATAAAAATCCTATTACATCAGTTAACCCAATTTATCTAGTCTTTTATTATTATTGTTTTGTTAAACAACTAAACACAGCTTATCATGAGTTTGCTTGAAAATTAATATTTAAAAACAAAGTAAAGGACTGAAGTAAGAAATCCTATTTGAAGTCATTTTCTGAGATACGTCTTTACAATAACACTTAACAAAAGTAGTGAAGGAACTAAAGAAACATAACACCATAGACAAGTACAAAAAAAAAAGGAAAGAGCTCTTAAGTTTGAGGAGAGGCCAAATTTTGTTTAAGAGTTTACTGGTTTCAGATTAGCAGTCATTAGCTTATGACTCTTTAGGTGCTTATTTTTTCACTTCCACATACTAGGATAAAACAGTCAGTGTTAATAGTGACAGTAACTTCTGTCACAACATGCTAGGCAAAATCTGATGCATTCCCATGTTTTATTGAGCTGTGTTATTCATATGGGTAGCCAAACATCTGTTGGTAGAACCTATATTTTACTTCAAGCTGTAAGGGCATGTAAATAAATGACTGTTTATTAGGTTTGTAGTTACACCAAGCTTTAGAATGAGAAACTTATTTTAAAGATATTAATCACAAGAGTAAACAGTCATTCATTGTTTACAGATGTGTGTTCTTGTTGCAATAAGGAAGGAAGACCAACATAAGAGAAAAACATGAACAATCCATAAAAACTAGAAATTTATTCAGTATGTCCTAAGAGAATGCAATATAATGTTACAGCTTACAATGTCATCACAGTTAGTGAAGCTGAAGATGAAAAACAATTATGGATTCATAACAGTAATTGACACCAGTTTTATGCCAGCAGTTTTCAGCTTTTTCTCAAACTGTAAGCTCTCTTCTTAATATTTCTCTTTGAACATTTTTTTGTTTGTATTTTAGAGCAAAGCCACAGTCGGGCTATCTTCTGTGTCCACCATGGGGAATCAGGATTTTAATGATCTAAGTTTGTAGACTTACTACTGTCCTACCAGGGTACTCTTTATGAATATGGGGGAAAAAAAATACAGTAATGAATGCAAATCAAATGATTTATAAGTGTAGAAAAAACAATGCCCAGCAATTGTTAGATCACTTAGCAAACATGCTTTTGCCAAGAACCTGTGTTTAAAATCTCATGGATATAATTCACACAACCTTATCAAAAGTGCTGATAGGAAATAATTTTGGTATGAAATATCACACACACACACACACACACACACAGAATCAATTTTCACCCAAAATTTTCGGAATATTCTTTAATTGAATTATAATTGTATAAAGTTAAAACATATTAACAGCTTTTATAGAATTTTTTATTATTTTCTTCTACACAAGAAAGGACACCTTTGAAATTTAATTTATTCCTGGCTTTATAGATTTAAAATATGCAAGTGAGAAAAATTTGTTTATCATATAATGACATTCATGCATCATTACTATACAGTTACCCTTTTTTGCAAAGCTTTATAAATTGTAGTTTATATAAGTCACTCTAAATTACGTAAAGTTAAATGATTCACTGGATAATAACCATCTTAGTATTTGAAATTTAACTGTACATTTCTTTATATAATACAGGTTTTGTTTGTTTCTTTTAGCAAAAATCTATACAATAAGCTATCTGCACTCTATCCACCACAGGGAATTGATCCCTGGATTTTAGTGTTGTAAGCTTGTAAACTTACTGCTGACCCACCATGGAGCCTAATATAGGAATGTGGTCAAAATGCATATATTTTGTTAAATATGATAAAAACACTAGTGAAGAATCATATTTCAAGTCAAAAGCAATTTCCTGGAAATAAATATTCCAAACAAGAATAAAAGGAACCTTGTTGATAATCTTAGCTAGTCTTGAAACAAGCCTTAAATAAGATAACATACAAGAAAAAAAAACTGTTTTTCAACTGGATTATCTTTACTTTTCTTGATATTCCTGATTTTTGTAATGAAATGTAATCAATTATTGTGCTAAGACAACTGAATAATATCTTTACTATCAGTAAATCAGAATGGTCTGAATTAAAACACACACACACACATAGATATACAAAAAAAATGATTAACTTTTTGAAGTACAATCAATTGGACTAACTAAACAAAAACTGACCGTTACTTTCAACTGTAGATGGTTTATGCTATCTTAACTGCAAGATATATAATTTTTTAAATTTAAAATCTAAGTATAATCTACAAACATTGCACACATGCATAAAACCTTTCACTGTAGCACCACAGTTTGTATTTATTAAAATATATTACAGCAGGGTTACAAAAGTAATTTCATAATAGAAATATTACATTAAAGATAAACATAATGACTAAAGACAATTTACACATATGTTCTGGTTTACAGACTACCCTGTGAAAACTGTTCCCACCATTTCAGCAAGAGGACCACATAGAAAGGCTTTAAATTATTTTTTAGGTAATTAGACGTACATCAAAAATGTATTTAATGTTTATTTTACACACTTTATAAAGAGAAAATGTAAATGTTACTATGAGGTCTAGCTTCTGTAATAGTACAAGGTTCCATACTTCTAAATTTACTTACAAACATTCTGTTGTACATCTTTATTTCATAACAGTATAATCTGCTGTAAACTTGAAACAAACTTTTTATAACACTTAAATAACACCTTTTAGCCATTTGAATTAATTGACTAATTCTAATGTTATACAGTATGGAAGTCAAAAGGTAAAAGTGGTTTATTTAAATAATGTACTAAACTTAATGTAATGTAGCAGTCATTAATGAACTAGATCTATAATGTTAAGATATAAATTTATCCTTCTACTTTGATCATTATGTTTACCCCAAAAGAATAAGAAAGTAAAGTTAATACGATTATTTCAGTTAACCATAATTATCAAGTTAAGGTCTGCACTCTAAATAATGGATCAACTTAAAAAAGACCAAACTTTATGGCAGAAAATAAATGTTTAAAGCATGAAAAAGAGAGACTACTTGTAATTTTTCTAAATAATTATATTCTACACACACCTTCATGTGTGTTTCCTTTGCTTCTGTATTCTACTTTCTGTTGTCATTTACTTCTTAATTCAACTACATTCAAGACCCTATTTATTGATGAATGTGTCACCCACAGTAGTAAAATTTAGATGCATTTTAACGTAAAGATTAAGTTATTTTGAATCAAATGACTATTTTTAATGTAGTTTACCAATCAAAAATGATTCTTGTCAATAAGATAAAAAAAAATCCCCCCCCCAAAATAGAGCTTCTGTTCTGCTTGTTAGGTGGTATTAGATGTGAAAAATATAAATGACCAATCAGAATATAGATGTTCAGCTTTAAATACCAGACATTGGGTCAACCTGTCCTTTTTTACTTAGATCCACTTGTTCTCTATTTCATGTCCCTAGCATTTTCTGTTTACACCAAAGAAACTTTCCAAGGGTGTTTTTCAGAAACACTAATTAAAAAGTGCTCAACTCTGCTTCATGTGTAGTCCAACCCACCACCACATTAAAATTACTATACATAGGCATCAAACATTGTAATATTCTATTAATTACTTGAGAAGTTTGTTCTTGCAGTCTGGAATTCAAGAAAACTCAAGCAAAATTTAGCAGCTAGTTCAACTAGTGTGGCAGTTGTTCACGTGAGGTTAACAGCCATATCTTCCTAGTGGGAAAAGTAAAACATTTTCTTGGAGCAGTACATCTCACAGGTTTGCAGTTCATGTTCAATTATATAAAAAAAGATAGTTTCACGAATAAGTTGTAGGAGAACTTCTGGTTGATTTGACAAGTTCCACTAATGATTCAAATTCTTGAACTGTTGATTTTTTAACTCCTAATATCTCAATCTGTAGAAACAAAAATAATCTCCAATCAATGAAGAGCTTCTTTAACCTCTTAAAAAAACACAATAAAAGTCAGTCAAACAACATTGCATGATTAGTGATTTATGACTGGAAATAAATGATGATAAATTTGTTAACTTATTTTCTGGTTATTTAGTTTGGTTTATAACAGATAAATAAACGAAGGATAAATTTATTTCGATATACAGCATTAAACACTGTATTTATGAAAACATACTGTAGGAAACATCAAGTTTTATAATGCAATACTGAGTGGGAAACAATAACACCTTAAGTGAAAGAAGTCTTTAAGAAAGAATAAAAATGTAAAGATAAAAAATATTTTGAGTAGAATTTACATTTAGAAGTATAAACAAGATTTGAAGTGAACATAATAAAAAATGCTGGCTAAAATAAATGATGATAATTTTGTCCAATTATTTAAAGATATATAAATTAATTATAAACAATGAAAACTAATGGAGGCATTTATTTGTTAACACACCTACTTGAGGAACTCGGTTGTTAACATACTACTACAGTTTTATAGCTTTTTAACAATTGCTCTTCTCAGAAGTTTCCAAAACATTCATATATGTTCTCATGCCACACTTGAGCACTATTATTATTATTCATTCCTTCAGGTAATTCAATTTAGTTTTCAAATATCGTATAAAATTATCATTTGCTTTTGCTGACTAATTTGGGATATTTCTTTAACATTTTGTCATTTTTCAGTCAAGTTTACTAGTTGATTACATTAATATTACTTTCTGATCTAGACAACCTAGAACTACAAATCAGCACAGTAATTAACATAGCTAATTTGATATACTGTTTTTTAAGCTCTAACTTATATGATTAGAATAACTTTCATCAGTTGGGTGCAATTGCTGTTACCGATATTCAGTCATCAGATATGCAAAGTTGAACAGCAAATGTAATTGTTTTATTCAAATTATGACATACCAGTTGGTTTCATTAAATAAGCACGAGGGAAAAAACACGAGCTGGATATGTTCCATATTTAGTGAATTAGCAACTGTATATCATACAACAAAACAGAGAAATCATGAGCAGAAGTTATACAAGTACTTATATTTTGCTATAATTACAAACCATTCTGGAGCTGCTTCAAAACAATATAATTATATTCCGTGTATTAATTAGATTTAATAAATATAATTGATAAAAATATGATTTTTTAGTTCTATACCTAATTTATTACTGCAAGAGAAATATCTTAATTTTGTTGAAAGTGTATTTTAATATCATTGCTTATGTTGTGCTTACCAAGAAAAAAATAAAGTAATATTGTATTTAAAAAGCATTATTTGAGCTTAGAGTTTTGTCAAAAGATTTTCCCAAGAAAATAAAAAATAAACAATGGCTATTGAAAAATAAAATCATTTAACCCTTTCCAGATGGGTCACAGGTCAAAGGCCATGTCATCATG